GACATAGAGGAAAGACCAGTGTGCCTCAGGGGAATCTATTTGAATCATTTGTTGCTTACTTAAAGTCCATTTAAAAGTACATGCCCTTCTAAGACAACTCTGTTGGGCAATTTCACAGCAGCATGAACAGCGTTGTCACCCTGGTAATACAAGTGGAAAAAATAACGGCTCTACAGGGAGGCTTAAAAGGCAAGAAAACTAGGAAACTGGGGATCAGGAAAGACAAACAAATCATTGTTAGTGATGAATAGCAGTGGGATTTTGATGCCCATTTAGGCAAAGTGACAGGGTTTGTCTAAAGCTACCCCCCAACCCTTTAAACTTACCTTTACAGCCCTTTAAACCTATCTCTCCCAATAATAATCCCTCTGTGGCAGCTACCACAAAATACCCGGGGGTTCTGGGTATGGGGAACCATGTGTCTTCCTACCATGATTTACTGCTTGGCCCTAGTGCTAGATCCAAGCACTGTCAGGAGGAGGTGACATCTCCCTTGAAGCTTTAACACTGGATCCTTTGCAGTGGCTGTCACAGAGGGTGGATGTGAAGATGACTATAAGGTTGGTAGGGGGTAGGCTTTAAACAGAACCTGTCACGTTACTCTGAATGGGCAAGGTGACAGGGTCTCTTTAAGGGGACATCTTAGACATAAACCCTGCTGCCTGGGCTTCATCTTCAATGTTCTGTCTTGTATATACAAAGGCGATTGCAGGCTCTTAAAATAAGGAATTCCTTATTGCATTGCATTCCATTGCTATATGCGTGCAGGTGTTTTCCATGGACAAGATTGCATTTTTCGTTTGCAACAAATATGTCTTGTCAGCAGTGCCGGGGAATATTTATCCTTGAAATGACCAGCTGTGCGGCTCTGTGACGTGTACTTATATTGCTTTTCCAGCGATGCAAGGTCAAAATACCTTTTTAGTTACAATGAAATTTGGGAGTTTTGTTTCCTACATTTACTCAGCACGCGTTTAAAGGACTTTGTATGATGTCTGGTGACTAAAACCAACGCATTTTGGGGGTTCAACAGGTCCCCCTCCATCAAGGCCGAATGGATGCTGAAGACCCCGTTCCCACTGCGCGATATGCAAATCGCGCGTTTGTCGCGCGATTTGTATATTGCGCGACATCGCGAGATTTGCCGCGCGATGTCGCGTTCAAGCTTGCATTGAGCAAGCTTGAATCGCGGCTAAATCCGCTCCAAAAAGGGTCCTGCTGTAGCGACACACGACCCGCGACAGCAGGACCCTTTGCCCCATTGGATTGCATTGGAGCGCAATATCGCGCGGTAATTTGCCGCGATATCGCGGGAATTACCGCGCAATAAATCGCTCAATGTGAACGGGGTCTTAGGGTGACGGGAGGACGCTAGTTTTCTGTCCTCCCGTTACCCTTAGGAGAACTATGGGGAAAAGCCCTGACCCCATAGTTCTCCTTTAATAAAAACAACAAAAATACGTCTGGTGCATTCTATTTGCACACTGGCTTTTCCAAGACATGTGTCAACATACGGCTATTACTTCCTGGTGAGATACCGGAAGTGGAACCGTTTTTCTACACCAGACCTGCGTTTCAATTGGAAATCTTCTGTATCTTTCAAAGTGTCGGAGCCACTGGATCAGCATGTTGGCGACCTTTGCTTATTAATGGTGCAAGGATCACACAATTATGACAGCATGGGATATACTATGACAGTGGCCAACATTTAATAGTTGACCCCCAAGGAGTGAGGGGAGGGAACTCCATGTTACTGGCCATGGTTTTGCATTGAGATATCCAGTAAGCTCTTATAGGTGTGATGGTCAGGCATCCACAAGTTTTGGCCAATTTTGTAAATTAAAAAAAGGCTTCTTTTTGAGGTGTTTCAAGGCCCCATAATTCTTACCCTTAGAGGAAAGTAAGAAACTCCACAAACACTGTCACACAGACATGGTTCAAAACCGTTGGGGTTTTTAATATTGTGCATTGTGATGAATCATTGGTGGAAACACAAAGGAAATTGTGCACAAGGACAAAGAGATGATAGATATCTTGCTTTCTTATTCACTGATGTTATCTTAAATTTGATAAAGCAACTGGTGAGTCACTATCAGAAAACAAAAACTCCAGTATGATATAAACCTCCAGTAAGGCCTATGTCGTTAAAGGGATGTTCCACTTTTAAAGTACGGTAGAGGCAATTCAGTAAGGCTGGGTTCACACCTAGGCGTATCGAATATGCGCGTTTGTCGCACGTTTTTACCGCGATTCGCAGTAAAAAAAACGCGACAAACGCGCGTTTACGAGGGCTATCCGGCTGTATCCCAATGGATACGCGTGGCAAATACGCCCCAAAGAAGCTCCTGTACTTCTTTGGGCGTAAGGCGTTCCTACGCGCTGTAAAACGCCCAGGTGGGATTCATGCCCATAGGCAATCATTGGTTTTCACATGTTGAGCGTTTTACAGAGCGTAGGAACGTGCTGTAAAACGCCCAGGTGTGAACCAGGCCTAAAGCATTTGCAACACAATTCTGCCAGTATCACTGTATCCGGAAGTCTTGCACCAAATTCATAAAATGTTTGTGAAGGTTCCATAGTTAATACTGACATCTGTAACAAATTCTTATTTGTAAAACTTTTCTAATATGTTGCTGTCGCTGCAACAAATTCATTAATGAATACCGCCATTTTGGATTCATCAAATCTGGAGGTAATCCAGACATTGGTCACTGGTTGCTAATATGCTGCTAGGCCACAGCATCAGTTGTTGCTAGCATGCTGTCGGCCTACAAGTGTAATTGGTTGATGGGACGCTGCCAACCCACAGTGTCTTTGGTTGCTGGGGCACTTTCAGCCCACAGTGTTATTGGTTGGTAGGACGATGTCAGCCCACAGCATCATTGGCTGCTAAGATACTGTCAGCTCACAGCATCATTGGCTGTTAGGACACTTTTGGCCCACAGAATCATTTGTTTGATAGGATGCTGTTGGTCGACATCATCCTTGGTTTCTAGGATGCTGTCAGCCCGCAGAATCATTGGTTGCTAGGATGCTGTCGGCCCACGACATTAT